AGGAATGCTCATTTTCACCTAGAAGCAAGGCTTTTTGTGATATCTTTTATAAGACCAACTGTAACTGAGATCATCAGGGGCCTGAAGAAGGAAACCTGATGCCCCAAAGCAGCTCTCCCAGCTATACAGCTGACCCAATAAAAACATATCACACATGAGTCTTGCCTTCCTATTTTCTTCTTGGAAAAAAAATAAGAGGATAAGATCCACTAGTTCTAAAATCTTGAAGACCATGGTAACCAGAAATAATCACCTCAGTTCACTAGCTTTGGATAATACTTCCTTTGTTTAATAAAAGATCAGTTTTAAATGGAGTGCATCTAGCACTTTCAAGTTAGTTTTGTGGAACTAATTAAAATAATTTTAAATCCTGTGTATTTTAACTGAATTCTAATCATCTCATGAAAGGAAAAGGCATCATTAATCATTTCCTAATATAATAAAATGTAAAGTTTAAACATCTGAAGAAATATATGCTATACTGGGGGTCAGCAACCCCTGGCACATGTAAAAGCATGGCACAAGGCTAATCTGCTTGGCATGCCACAGCTGGCCTGTGGTCTGGGCAGCTGCCACCAACCACAGAGCCCGCTTGCAGCAGGCAGTCGGGAGACTGCAAGCCCTGCTGCAAGAAGCCTGGGCTTTGTGGCAAACAGCAGCTGCCAAGAGCCCGGGCTGGCTGTGGCAGGCAGCCAGGAGGCTACAAATGGCTGCACCGGGGGCCAGAGCCCAGCTGGGCTTCGTGGTGGTGGCAAATGCACACATGGCTCCAGGTAGATGTCAGGGGAGGGGCCAGGCAGAAATGCCCAAGCAACATCAGATGTTGCTTGGCCTCTTCTGGCTGTTCCGTTCATTATAAACACTAAGAAGAGTACACTGGGGTAGTAGTTTACTGACTGAGCTCACAGCCCTGTACATGCAAGCTGAGCCATAACTGGTTGAAAATAGTACCAGCAGGAAGGGAAAAGGAAGCAGAGTGTCTTTCAAGTAGCTGCCACCACTTTATCAACAGCTGCAGGAACATGTTTGAAGTGTCTAAGTTAGAAGTGAAGGATCTAAATTCACATAACTTTTCCCAGGCCAGTATTTCTCTCTGCCTTTTGATCCTTTCTCACCCTGGAAACCTCTGGTCTCAGTAAAACAGGTGAGTGAGCTAAGGAGAGACTTCAGCATAAACTCTGAGGGTCACAAAAAGGTGCTAAATCAGAACAAATACTCTTTACTCAATTTGCACAGGTGGGAAGCAGATGAAATAGTCCACAGGGGTCAATTAGCCCACAGGGCTCTAGTTCCTTTGATGGTATATTAAGCTAAGGCAGGTATCTCTGCAGTATGGACGTACAGGGCGTGTCTACACCTTAATGTGCAGCGGACTATTCTAGTGTGCATTAATGTGCCACAGCAAAAACCGTGCTAATGCGCTAATCCTTATTGCTACAGTGACACAGAATCGGCAGGCACAAACTGTGAGGCATTGGTATTGTGCAGTAATGTCAGTTACTGTGCAGTCATTTAGTATGCAAGTACTATATGACTGCACAGTAACAACTGTGCAGTCTGGCACACGTGTAGATGATCCCACTATGTAACACAACAGCCAGGCAGGTGCACAGCTATGTCCACACATGTCCGAGCTTAAGGAGGAGAAAGGTCCACCTAATGTTTTATCCTCAACAACTAAGTGCTTAGGGCACCTACCCAGTAAGTACAGACTTGGGTTTCTAGTGCCCCTGCCTCCCAAACCACACAGCCACCCACAAGTTAAAAAAAATAAAATTATCTAACTGAAAAACTGCCATTTAGACACACAAAGTAAAATAGGGCTCTGCTTTAAATTGTTATTCACCTAAGTATCAACAAGCAAAATAGAACCTAACACAGAGAGGTTTATAAGTCTCATAGGGTAACTGTCAATCCAATTTTACGAAAACATTTACATTCCTTTAAGGGTAAACCTCATACAGCATCCCTAGATACCTGCCTTCTTGTGTATATTTAAAAAGAAAGATTTCAGATAATAACAAAACCACCTTAGAACTCAAACAAAATCTACTGGTCTCTTTCTTTTAAAAGTACATATTAGAGATTCTCAAAAACAATGCAAAAGAGTACACTTCTCTGAAGAGTTGATTTTTTTGGAAGATGAAAACAGCTATCTAGAGTCTCTTTAACTTGGAATTCCTTAGCTGTCATTCAAATCTCATTTTTATTTTGAGATCCTGTCAATATTCTTGAACTCATGATGCCATCTGCTGTACAACCGATATACTTTTTAAATCTACAAAAATACTGGATATTCCTTTTTCAGTCAATCTCCTTACTTCATTGACAATCATAACAAAATCTGAAAACAGACTATTATTTACATTTTGAATTCGGGCCTTCAAAAATTGGGAGTAGGCTCATTCAGTTCCTTTGACAACAGTAAAGATCAGTAAAATATGTCATACAATAATAAGCTTAACCAACATCAAATTCAGTCCAATTTCAGTCCAATTCCAATTTCAGTCTCATTTTTTAAAATATAAAATTGACACTACAAAATGCATTTTTTGTCTATAGCAGATAACTATTTGAAGCTTACAAATGCTATTTCTTGTTTCCTATAAAGCAATGGTGGGGAATGGTTCAAACATATATAGACCTTGATGTTTTTTCTCTTTCAATTCTGTCTAGCCTAGCTGAGTTTTGATGCTGACCTGCAGTAATTTAAGAAGCAAGTTGTAGTAAAAAACCGACATGTGCATAATGGAAGTTTTTGATTTATTAAAGCATCCCAGATATAGATTAATTTGCTTTGCCTAACATTGATTATTGCTCACCTGCCTTGAATGAAGGCAGGCTTTGCTAATGCTTTCAAGCATTCATTTAATTTGTCACCTGGGTAGCAGGGACACCTGACAACATCCTCCTTTTTGGCTGATTTTAAATGTAAGATAAAAAAATAAATTATTTAAAATCCTTCTCTCAAGAAAACTTTTTTGTTTTAATAGTTTGAAGAAGTTTTCTAAACAATTTTAAACAAATAATTGTATACTTAGAACTCAATGTATTAAATGAACCAGAGCTGCTCTCAAGAACTAGCCGGAGAAAGTAATGAAAATTCCTTTCTACCAACCCCTGTAGCTTTTCTTGTGTTTATAATTACACTTTTTTTGTTAAATGCATTTAAGTGAACTTCGCAAGCAAGCAGGAGGACATGGTGGCCTATCTCAGTATACTCATCTAAAAATGTCTTTTATAACATTTTACAGTTCTACTACAAGTTTACAGTAGAACAAGAGATATATCCATATTCTCTCTCCTTTGCTCCTCTAGCAGCCAAAGAATACTAGTACCAGGAAACTGAAAAAGGCATTAAACTTTTACCAAACTGATTTCAAGAGGTTGGGAGCCATTTTGGTCTCTGAAACAACCTGGAATCTAGGCGAAATAAGAGGCACGACACGGAATCTGTCAGCGACTCTTCAGTGTCCTACTAGAGGACCTCTTTGTGCGAGACCTGGATGTTTGTCTAACACGGTAATTCCCAAACCAGTGACTGGATTTGCAAATGAGGCTAGTCATAAAAAAATATATAAGAACTTTTGTGTTTGTATTTTAGACCTTTCCTTCCTGGTAGCAAAACCTTAACTTGGGTGAGGTATAAAATAAGTGACTTGCACTTTGTGGAAGCTATATTTGAAATCCACTCAGACTGCATTCATTACAGAAAATGGAAGTAACAATTGCTCAGCGAGTCTGCATTCAAAACTGTACTCGCTGCTTAGTATACAACCAATGTTATTAAAGTTTTAATATTAGGATTTAGCAACATACAGAGTTAGAGAATATAGAACTTGCCTAGGTGAAAGATGCTTTATCTTGCTCTAAAGCAGTGAGGGCCAACCATTATGGCGGGTATGTCATAAATCAGCCCTGCCCACTCCTCTGACTGCCACTCTGATCCCTTCCTCTGCCCAATCTGCTGCTCTGCCTTTCTGCTGCCTATTCTGTGCTCCCTGCCCAATCTCCTGCTCTTTCTGCTACTCTCCTGCCTCTTCTCCCAGATTTGTTACGTCCTACTTGTGGCATTCATGCCACAGGTGGGACACCCCTGCTCTAGAGCACTGTTTCTCAACCCATGGGTCGCAAAAATATTTGAAAGCATTGCAGTCACGGAAAGACAGGAAACCACAGCCTGCAAGAAGCAGCTTGGGGCAAGTGGAGGCAGGGGGTACCATGTACCTCTACACATGCACATAGCCAACATACAGCCAAGCAGGGTGGTGGGAGCAGTCCTGGCAGCTGGATGCAGGTAAGTCAGTGGGGAGCAGGGGGTGGAGGGCCAGGGCTTGGGGACTGTCTGGAGGAGGGGACCATGTGTGGAGGGGATGGGTGGGTGGGGGGGCAGTGTCTGCCAGTGCTGAGGGAATGTGTCTAGGTGCTGGGGCTGTGACAGAGTGGGAGGGATGCCTGCCCCTCCAGTAGGGGAAGGGAGCGGGGGACCACTGCTTGTGCTCACAGTGGCGGGGGGGCCAGAAGATGCTGCCTGGGGCAGGGCTGTGGCCAAGCCGCCTGGCACAGCACAAGAGTCCCAGCCCGGCAGGGGGTGGGCGCCACAGGCCTCCCCTCCTACTCCCTCCAGCCTGCCCCAGGGCTGGATTGGCTCTGTCGCCACCTGCACAAACCAGAGCCACTGTACTCTGGCCCAGGTGAAACGGGAGCATCTGGGGGCCCCCTTCGGCAGGGCTGAGGGAGGAGGGCAAAGGGCTAGATCAGGAGTGAGAGGCACCAGACGGGGTGGAGTGCTGCAGGTCAGGAGTGAGGGGCACTGGAAGGACTGGGGGGTCTGCAGGTTGGGAATGAGGGGCACTGGCAGGGCCCAGGGAGGCAGCAGACAGTGGCTTGGGAGTGCGGGGCACCAGCAATTTGCATTGTGCAAATTGCACAATTATGAATGTCACTTGGGAATAATGGTGGGCCAGATGTTGATATTGCTGTTAATGTTTTCCTGTTGATGTTGATTTCTGTCTTTAAACTTAAAACACTTGAGCTTCTTTAACCTGTAGTAAGCGGGGTTTCTCTGATTTAAAAAAAAAAAATCCCAATTTTTGGTTAGAAAAAGTAACCCCAAATCCACATTTTTCCATGATTTAAATAAAACCCCCAGTTTTTGGTTAAAAAAAAGGAACCCCAGATCCACATTTTCCCATGATTAAAATGAAACACCACTAACATATAGATCTCTAGATAGTGGCATTTCATTTTAATCATGGAAAAATGTGGATTTGGGGTTACTTTTTTTTTTTTTTAACCAAAAACTCGGGATTTTTTTTTTAAACAGAGAAAGCCAGAACTCTAGTAATAAGTGTTTTGGGACCAAAATACTTGCGTGTTTTCTACTTAAACTATTTACTGGGTCAGGACTGACCAACAATGTTTACAAATGGGTCCTGGAACAAAAAAGGTTGAGAACCACTGCTCTAGACCACTGGTTCTCAACAGTTTTAGCCCTAACCACCCCTCCATTCCTTTTCTGAATGTCATGGCATCCCAGCTAAGCATTACTGAGCTAGAACCTAAATTAAAAAAAAGATGTAGAGGGAGCCTCAAAGCTAACAAAAGGTTGAGATCTAGCTGACACCAGGTAAGAGCGGCTAAAGCAGGACCTAACCCTGCTGTGCCCTGCTCTTCCCACTGTCTGCTCCCATCCATGTCCTGCTCCTACCCCATCTGTACCTGGGGAGGCAAGCCTCAACCATTGAGACTGATCCTGCAGGGTCTCATACACTTGCAACTGCCCAAGGCCCCTCCTGCCGGCCCTTGGGGCATAGGAGGAGTAGAGGGAATGAGTCAGATGTATAGTGTATATAATCACCTGCATGCCCCTGAGCCTGTCAGCAGTGCAGCACACTGCTGGGAGCATGGGGCAGTAGTGGCAGAAGTCCTCAGAGGAGCAGCTGCAGGCACTGCTGTGGTAAGCACATGGCACTGGGCAGGGGAGGAGAAAATGTACCTGCTCACCTGGGGACTGGGTGCTATGGCACCCTTAATGGAAGCTCGCAAAACCCAGTTGAGAATCACTGCTTTAGTGTCTAGACCATTACACTGCAATTGAAATGAGAATATTTAACAGAATCATTTCTTCTAAACTTTAGAATCTAAAGTATCATTTTTAAAAGGAAATGAAACAGAATTAAATCAAATAAAAATCTGTCTCTGAGGCGGTTTGTATCTATCATAAGTAGGTCAAAGTGAAAAGGAAAAGAGATTCAAACAAATAAGCAAACAAAAACCTCAGCGCTCTTTTCTGCCCAGGGCAGGGGGTTAGACTCAATAAGTTCCCTTCCGACCCTAAAAATCCATGAAAAACCTCCATTAAATCCAACTCTACAAGCAATCTATATCTGGGTTAAACTAAAAATTATGCATCTTGTCACTGATTAAATAGAAAAAAGGTAGTCATTTGTATTATTTTCTTTCATATCTATATTTTTAACATGGCAATAATTGTAAACTTGTCATTTTGGGGGAATATGTGATTTGTGATACTTGAGGAATAAACACACTCACAAGACACTTTTTGTCATAGTGAGTAACACCTTATTGCAAGAGCATTTCCAATTAATTTTTAATGGGACCACACACACAGTAAAGAATTTTTCAGCGTGAATAAGTACATCAAAATATATTTTGTGGTTCATTACATACAATGATCCTTTCCATTATTTTTTCCCTCTGGAAAAAATGCTACTGTCATTTTTCAGGTTGGGGAGAACTGAAATTGTTAGGTCTTGTACCTCTGCTATAAATTATGATGTACTGATAACATTGGGAACTGACACCCGTTCCTAAAATATTTATAGCTAGTCATTTATTTTTTAAATGATCTACCCTGAAGTTCAAGTTATAGGCTGAAGTATCTGCTGGAAGTGCTCCCAAAAGATATTTTGCCATACCTTACTTGTAAGTTGTTCCCAAGTTATAGCTAAGATATAACAACTTTTTATTTAAGTGAATGTATCGCTCGTTCCAACTCCAGGTGACCAGAACAGTTTGGACACTGGCTTTGCAATTTCTCCCTACACTAACCAACAGTGACTCAGCCTCAAAGGAGAAGAATTACTTTGAGGGGAGGAAAAATCTCCCTGTTTGTGAAATCCCTCTCTACTAAGATGATCAAGTAGGATGCAGGGTGATGTCCATTTTCAAGGTATTATTTTGTATGTGGATATCTGCCCAACAGGTATTAAACTAAAACTATACAACATACATCTTCAATGTTAATCAAAACGAACTCACACAAAATGACAGGTGCATCAATTATGCTTTACCATAACAATTCAACTTATTACCTGCACAAAATATTCTTAACTGCTGGACTGGAGATATAAGTTGCAAATGGGTGGTGAAGAGGTCAACAAATGCTCCAGGATATACAATAAAGATAAAAATTCCAAATCCATTAAACCGTACTTGTTCTCTATAAGAAAAAGAAATGACTGTAAACCTAAAGGCAATATTTAGATTTTAGAACACTGTAGGAACCTACAGTAATTTTACATATAATTGAAAATTAGAAGATAATTAAGCTATATTTTATTTAATCGTATAAAAATCCAACCCTAAGCAAAAGCACTCATTGAACTTGTAACCTGGGAAGAAGGAACACATGACACCATCCTCTTCTTTGGCTGATTTTAAATGTAAGATTTAAAGTAGTTTACTTTCTATCTCTCTCAAGAAAACTTTTTTGTTTTAATATTTTGGAGAAGTTTCCTAAACAATGTTAACAAATAATTGTACTTAGAATTCAGTTTATAAAATGAACCAGAGCTGCTCTCAAGAACTAGCAAGAGAAAGTAATGAAAATTCCTTTCTACCAATCCCTGTAGATTTTCTTGCATTTATAATCACGCTTTTTTTGTTAAATGAATTTAAGTGAACTTTGCAAGCAAAAAGGAGGACAAGACCATCTGAAAAAGTACAAGTGGTATCTATCCATATAACTAAGAGAAAAGGAAGAATATGGGATGGTAGGAGGAGACTGAAGAGTATTCAAGGGCAGAAAAAAGAGAGATTAGAGCCATACAATTTTTAAGTTTTTACTTTGTACTTTTAAAAAATAAATGTTTATATTTTTGGAATAACTGGATAAAGCTTATGTGAAGCTCAGAAATTCTTAAGTACATCACACCAGCAATACTTTCCTCACATGTATCATTGCCAATATTCTGAACCAGCTAGTCCTGTATCTCATCTACCACACCATGCAGGTCTCACTATTTTATTTATTATTTTTCAAGTGCTCTTGCCACATGATCAAGATGCACATATATTAAAATAGATACAAACCTTACAAAGAGAATTTGTAAGAAATTATATAATCTCCAGAATTAGCTATGAAACAGGATTAGCAATAGCTGCTGCAATGCCCTCATGCACTCTCCTAACGCAAAAACAAGCCTGTCTTTGTAAACTCAGTAGATCAGTGATTCTCAACCAGGGTACCACAGCACCCTGGGGTGACTTGAGAGAATTTCAAGGGTGCCACAGGAGATCAAGCAATGTTAGTGCTGCTAGATGTGCAAATATGATTCACAAGATAAATCCAAGGATTTCAAATAGGAATCCATAGTGTAGACAACACTCTCACATGTTGTGGTCTGAGTTCTTTGCAACAGATTTGCTCTAGCATTTTTCTGTAGTCAGAAAATGAGTGAAAAAATAAGAGCTGACACTTGCCAAGGGTGTGTCTTGAGTCTAACAAAGTTGTGAACCAGTGCAGCAGACTTTGCTACATTTCCTTTTAGATAGCAAAATGCCAAATAACAAGCCATGAGGTCAAAGCATGCCAGAACTGAAGGTCCACCTGTAATTTCAACCATGCCACACTTAAATCAAACACTGATCTCAAAAGCAGTAGATCCACAAAAACAAATGCCTTATCAGACAAGCTGTGATTCAAATATATAGGCTTTTGTACCTCATAACATCATCTTGAGTAAGACCTGGAAACACACTGGAGCAGAAGTATAATGTGTTCCCTGTGGCAGTATTCTGAAAAATGCACAGATATTCAATAAGACTGAAAACTTAGGAAATGACCCCAACATAGCACTATAAGACAGTATCTGAGACACAGAGAAGTCAGCAGAAAAAATGTAATGAAAGAGAAAGTCACACGTCTTCCAAATGTGCACCTTATATAACTCTATAATTTTATGGCATACTCCGTTTTTCTTTATTAAAATAATTTACACAAGGTTTTTTCTTTTTTCTTATTTTTACATAAGCCAAAATCTGAACTCAAATGCTCAGAACCTTTGCCACAGAACACAAGCAAAGGTAATTATTGTGTTACTAGCTACTGTACTTTACTTAATTCTGCTCATAATTTGGCTAAGAGAGAAGGTGAATCCTTGGTTCCAGCATCTTAGCAGCCACAGGTATGCAGTGGCCAGCCATAGTTTCATAGTAGGTAGGGTCAGAAGGGACCTAGGCAGATCATCAAGTCCGACCCCCTGCCATGGGCAGGAAAGAATGCTGGGGTCAAGTGATCCTGGCTAGGTGATTGTCTAGCCTCTTTTTGAAGACCCCCAGGGTAGGGGCGAGCACCACCTCCCTTGGAAGTTGGTTCCAGCTCCTAGCCGCCCTGACCGAGAAGTAGTGCCTCCTGATGTAGTTGTGGCTGTTATTCCTAGTAAACCCTTGTGGTACCCGGGGGACAGAGTCTTGTCTAATTTCCACTGGCCCCCCCAGTGAGTTTGTAAATGGCCACGAGATCCCCTCTCAGCCTTCTCTTGTGGAGGCTGAATTCAGATTCAGGCCCTTTAGCCTCTTCGTAGGGCCTGACCTGCTGCCCCTTGACCATGTGAGTGGCCCTCCTCTGAACCCTCTCAATGCTAGCCGCATCTCTTGAAGTGCGGTGCCCAGAACTGGACACAGTACTTCAACTGCGGCCTAACCAATGTCACATAGAGGGGGAGGATCACCCCATTGGCCTGTTCGTGATACATCTGTGGATGCATGACAAGGTGTGGTTAGGCTTCCTGACCGCGTCCCCACATTGGCAGCCCATGTTCATCTTGGAATCAATAGTGACTCCAAGATCCTTTTCTGCCTCTGTGCTGATGAGAAGGGAGTTCCCCAGCCTGTAGGTATGCTGCTGGTTCTTCCTCCCCAGGTGCAGTACCTTGCACTTTTCCGTATTGAAACCCATCCTACTCTCATCCACCCACCCCTGTAACCTGTCCAGATCTAGTTGTAGCCTGTCCTTCTCTTCTAGCGTGCTCACTTCTCCTCACATCTTAGTGTCACCTGCAAACTTGAAGAAGGTGCTTTTCAACTCCTCGTCCAAGTCACTGATTGAATAGCGAGGGCCTGAGAACTGAGCCCTGGGGGACCCTACTGCCCACCGTCCCTCCAGGTCGAAAACGACCCGTCCACCACCATTCTCTGGGTGAGGCCCTCTAGCCAATCTGCGACCCATCTGGGGTGGGTGGCTCAACGCATACTGCATTGGTCTGCACCTGCAGGGAGCAAACTAGAAAAGCCAAGGCTACAACTGAACTCCATCTGGCGACATGAATAAAGGACAATAAAAAGTCCTTCTTCAGGCTGGACCCCTATATATCAGCTGGTCCAGATAGGTTGCACCCAAGCGTGCTAAAGTGTTGGCTACAAATGTCCAACTCGGGGTCCTTAAAATTCTAGTTTATTAGGCGGATTGAAACACTGTAATCATAAAACTTGGGGCTGGTCGTCCCCCCACACACACACATACACACACACAGTAGCAGGCTACAGAGTCAGGTATACCTATTCTACAAGTGCTGGAGTCTGTCGTTGAGGCTTCTTTCAGCGTGGTGTTATCTTCCAGAAGGGGGTCGCTGGCTGGTCCTTCTGGCTGGACAGGTCTGGTCGAGTTGGAGATCAAGAGGGCGCCACTGAGGGTCACTTTTCACTGCCTTTTATCTGTCCTTAGCAGACTTTGGTGACTCCCCAGTTTTCAGGTTTGCCCAATCCAGGGGTCGTTGACCCTCGTGGGACTTCCCCCCCTCGGTGGCTACTGGATGGCATCTGTCAGCCCCAGGGGTCGTCCGCATGTACGTGCAGGTTTGGGAGTCCGTTGATGAATTTTGAATAGGGCTCTGGGAGCAGTTGATCTGGAGATACTCAGCCCAAAAGTTGGTCCCTGGCATTGATTAACTCAGGCCAGGGCTTCTAGCCCTTGATCAGTGACGTTTAGAGATTTCCCGGTTGTTACATTGTCTTCTATTGAGTTCTTCCCCTGGTTGATCTGCAGCTTCCCAGATGTTAATTGTTGTGTGCTACCTTGTTACACATTCAATCACTGATTCACTGGCTCTTTCAGGGGCCAGCCTGATACAGAGAAGGACAGTTTGATTCCTGCCCTTGTTAGCATTGTTACAATGTATAACTTACTAAAACACATTTAGTTGAAAGTTGAAAGGTGAGGAGTATAAAATATAAGCTACAAATGCCATGGCACACAAATAGATAAAAATACCAAACTACAAGGGGAGATACAAAATGCACACACACAAATTTTAAAACACAATTCCTTATCTTAAAGTGAAAGAGAGAAGAAGGAAGAAAAGGTAGAAAATGAGAAACATATCCAAAGAGGGGAGAGCAAATGCAGGCAAGAGGAAAAGGGGGCTTTCTGCTACACTGGGGGTGCACAGGCACACTCTTTCCTCCCCTTTTTGAAAATGGGGACCACATGGGCCCTTTTCCAGTCCTCTGGCACCTTGCCAGAGCACCACGAGCACTCGTAAAGCTGTGCCAGGGGTCCTGCAATGACCTCTGCCAATTCCCTCAGCACTCTGGGGTGGAGATCGTGCACAATTACAGTAAAAGGCAGAAGAAGAGGCAATATCCATTTGGCTTTTATCACGGTATGAGAAGAATGGAGCATCACACTTTACACAGAAAAGTCTCAATGAATATTGAAGTTGGAAAAGAGATGACTTGATGTTACAGACAAGGCACATAAAATACATATTTAAGCCCCAAACCACTATAATTTCAGATAGCAATATAAGACTTCCATTTCACTCACTCACCCAGGACTTTTTGCAAAGCTCAAATGAATGCTTAACATCTGAATTCCGTACCAAACAGATGGATACTGAAATGCACTATTTTAGAGCAGTCCCAATATGCCAGGTATACTGTACATTTAATATAGCCTCCCTCATCAGAATTAAATCCATCAATGCATATCTTAAATGAAGTAAATAATTAAGGTAACAAAAATATCACCCTTAGCTATAGCACCTTTTACTCCAAGGCCTCACAAGACACTTTATCAGTGTTTATGAATTATACAAGTATCCACAGGAATCAAGATGTCCATCACTGAAATTCTGTCTTCTCAAAGACACAATATCTAACCATTTTCATGGTTGCAGCTGCACCCAATAAAAATTGCGCAAAAAAAAGAAAAAACCTGGACACAATGTAAGTCATAGGGAAAATTTATGACACGCAAGTTTTGGGGTTTTTTTGGTGTAATCTTTTACCTTGTATACTTGGGAGAGATTTAAGACAAGCTTTCAGGTACAGAGGACATATAACCGGACACCCAAACACACTCGAGAAGCAGCAGCAGTGTGCAAAGCAACATTGATGCCTACACTGCTGGAGGCACAATGGCAGTGGGTCCAGCAGCACAGCTGCTGCTGTTCCTGCAACCCATCCCCCTCACCCAGGTCAGCACTGAGGCTGGTTACACTACTGTGAAATCTCTCCCAACTATATGTTTGGTCCGAAAAAAGATATTACCAAAGGGAAAAAAAATCCCAAAATACCCTTGCTTCTTGCATATTCCCTGGATGAGAGCTACAACAGCTCTCCAAGCTGCAGAACATTTAGACAGACAGGCTATAACTATTTAAATTGAATTGTTGCCAGAAAACAAATATTAACTTTCCTAGCTCTACAGAGAATACCAAAGGCCTCTGACAGCTACATATGGTAAGGATTTCAGCTTTGTTTCCTCCTAAAGACAGAACCTCCTACAGCAAGAAATCTCTACGTCCTACATTTCCTTTGACATCTATACAGGACAATACTCACCTAAAAACATGCAAGAATTCTGGTTCAATGCTAAATGGAAGAACTACCAATTGTTCCTTTTTACCGAAATTGGTCTAGATTATAACAGTGCTATTTCACATCTAGCATTACCTAATCTTAAATATCTTTGAGGTACATGGACTCATTCTGGACACATCAACTTTGCTTCTAGCCCATGGGTAGGCAACCCCCAGCAAAGGTTGCAAAGCCTGGCACGCAAAAGCATTTTGTTTGGTGCACACACTTTGGTGTGGATGATGGGCAAAGGGCTGGGGAAAGGGCACCGCCACAACAGGGATTGGGTCCCTTGCAGCTCCCCAATGCCCACTAAGGCTGTGCACAGCTTCAGGAGCCGATTCGATTCGGAGGAGATTTAGCAGCCAACTCCCCAAATTTGAATCAAATTGGGAGACCCGTTAAAAGGTCCGAATCAAACTGGAAGCCTCCGAATCAATTCAGAGAGATCTGGTGCCGATTCAGAGATTCGACCATAGACTGACTAAACAGGCAGCAGTCCTCAACCATGCTGGACACAGCTGCCTCCAGCTGGTAAGTCTGTTGTGGTGGGGGGAGGGAAGGGAGGGGGCAGATCAATGCCCCCACAGTGAGGGAGGGATTGGGGCTGGGACAAGCTGCCCAGCTGGGGCAGGGGGGGACTCGGGGAGGGGGCTCCTGCCACTGCACACCATCGGTCCGGGAGGGCATGGGAGCAGGCGTGTACCCCCAGATCTAAGCGGGGCAGGCTGCACTCTGGGAAGCTAGCTCTAGTCGCAGCCCGGAGTGCAGCCCTGGCTCCGCCCGCCCCACAGAGCACAGTAGAGCAGGGGTTCTGGGGGGTCTGCAGCCACCCTAAAATTCCCCACAGCCCCTGACACTGGCCCCTCCTTGATCCAGGTGCATGCGCCTGCACCCATGCCCTGCTGCTGCTTGCCCAGCCGGGGCAAAGCCACAGCTTGTCCCAGAGGCACGGGGAGCCTGGAGTGGGTTCCTCTGCTGCACGCTGCTTGTCTGAGGCAGCACAGCAGCACTGTCCCGTGCCTCCCCCCCCCGACTGTGTGAGCAGCAGGAAGTCATAGCCCCAGCTCCCAGTGCTGCTGCACCTACATCCCGTACCACCCCCACCCCAACTGGACAAGGAGCGGCAGGGCACAGCCCTCACTCCCAGCATCTTCTGCCGCCTATCTGGAGTGCAGCCTGGCCCAACCTGCTCCGCACAGATTCAGGGGCACATGCCCACTCCCATGCCCTCCTGGATTGGCAGTGCACAGTGGCACACAGGGGCAGGAGCCCCCCTCCCCGAGTTGTACACCCCCTGTCCTGACTGAGCAGCTTATCCCAGCCCCAATCCCTCCCTCGCTGTGGGGGCATTGATCTGCTCCCACCCCCATGCCCCTTCCCTCCCTCCTCCACCCACCACAACAGACTTACCAGCTGGAGGCAGCTGTGTCCAATGTGGCCAAGGACTGCTGCCTGTTTAGTCTATGGCTGAATATCCTAATTTGCACTGAATCTTCTAATATGATTTGGCTGAATCGAATCAGGGCGGTGACTCAAATCACTGTCCCTCCAAATTGGCTGAATCTGAATCAAATACTTGCTGCTTCGCACAGGCCTACTGCCCACCACTGGTACACCAATATCTTGCAAGTTGTTGAGGGCGTTTTTGGCACTCTGCCTGAAAACATTGCCAACTCCTGTTCTAGCCCTTTACTGCCAGGAAACAGATTTCACAGTAGGCTAATTCTAATGGGTCACTTCTGTTATCTCACTGACCATATTTTTCATCATAAACTGACCTGTTAGAGACATCTGTTACAGACTCTAGACAAGCCTAGAGTCTATTGTTGTTGAATTTCACCCCGAAGAGTATAGCCTAGGAAACAGCAACAGAAATACGTGGCTCTGTTTTTTCTGAGATCTGTCTTCCAAATATTGACCAAACCCTGCCTTTTCTCAGTCTTCACTGCCATTTCATGAGACTGAGGAAATATGGCTTACAGACATGAGATCTGTGGAGAACAATACAATAATGGAAAACCAAAGAAACAGATTCTAGTAAACAATTACAGCAGGGTAACATGTATGAAATTAACAAGAAAATATATTGGAAAAAGATTCAGATCATCACTCCTCCCCATATTCTGCACGCCAGTAGGACAGGAATCTTACCTAGTGCTCAGGAAAAAAAAAGTGAAGCAGAAAGCCCTGCTTCCACACCTGCTAATGGTTTGTGTGCAGTCAAAACCTGGCTGTCAGCAGTAGTACACAACAGACAGCACCACAAAATCCCCCTTTTCTTGGAACAGCAAAAAGTGACACTTGTGACTATTTCTGTACCTACCAGAGCTGACATTTCTACTCTTCCCTGTGTAGCTGAGAAAAGTAAGGTCCAAGAAGGAGACATACTTAAGTCATATAAATTCAAGATTTCACTGATTAATACTTCACATTCCAAGTAACACGCCGCACAATGATCATTCAAAATAAAGTTCAGTGCCTGATGCTGGGGTAAAGACAAGGCCTCCTGTACTTCGTATAACATCAGATGTAAATACTAGCCTTAGGACTCCAGACGTGTGTCCACAGGAGTGTGCACATGTTCTCTGTGGCACCTCAAAGGCTTTTGAGGCACTGCAAAACGTGCCCCACACACATGATTTGGTTCTCCACATTGCATATTTGTAGCACAGAGCCAAACTTAGATACCAGGAAATCCCCGCATCATAAAAAAAAAAAAAGACACTGAAAAAAGTGGAGCAGAACACGGGACAGCAGCATGCATCACCCAGAACTGGATTCTGGCTAGCCAGAGCCACTTTCTGACTGCCCAGAACCAGAGCCAGGCTCTGTGTGCCCGGATCGTTGCTGCTGCAGCCCTAGGAGACCCCCAGTAATGCTGCTGGGGCCAGCAACTATGCTGGCCCCAGACTCCCCTATCCCACCAGGAACTGTTTGCCCTGCACCAGAGCACACGTGCAGGGACGTTCCCCAGGGACAACAAGTAGCGTCACAAATATGTGCTGCTAGTTGTCCCTGGGGAAATACACGTGGGCACTCGTCTGGACACACCCCAGATATATCTGGCCTTCCTTTATAACACAACAATCAGGTAAATCATAACCTAGGGTTTTTAAAGGAAATAAATAAGGGTTTTTTAAATGAAAACAGTATAATCAAGACAATATTTTTTGTATTACTTCTCAAGATACATTTTTACTTCCGCCAAACAGTCCATATGCCACCAGTATTTATACTGGAGTGCACGTCTGCATTGCAAAAGACAACAATGCAGTTTCAACAGCGGACAAGATATAGTAAGGATTTCTGTCATACAGGAAAATGAGGAAAAGTAATTTGGGAGTCTAGTGGAAGGGAGTCACTGATGCTTGTGGCATTAAGAAAGGATGCCTGCCTCTCATTCTCCATCATGGAAAAACGTAAAGATGAATGATACCCAGATCTTTACTCAGCAACCTCAGTTAGACTTTCACAGTATTTTGTAGCAATGCCTAACCATTAATTTTCTGCTGAAATGAGCACCACAGTTAATACTAACATTTAAAATCTCATTAATTAATCTCAAAATTACCACACCAGCAAGATTAACAGGGGCAATTCACACCTCTCCTAACTACTGCTTCAGCCTGTCAGTACAACAGTTCAGAGGTTTACATTTAACTCACATTAGGAAGCTTTTTGTAGCACCTAATAAACTGGAAACTTTTCTTAAAAAATATTAGATTTGGATGACCATTTTGCGCAAATTCTCTGTACACTGCAGAATCACAAGAATAGGGGACCCTGGTGAACCAGAAGGTAAGTCTAAGGTAATACAAAATATACGATGCAATACATAAAAGTCATGCTCATAATCTTTGTATCCTAACTTCTTGTAAGGCATCCTGAAGATCTCTGTCCCATCCTTGCCCCTAGAGACTTCCAAATTAAAATATGTTCTTAAGCAAAATAAAGAAATTAACTACCTTCATAAATCATAGAATCACTAATCATATTCACTTGTAATTACATGCTCGTGTAATTATGCACTTTGTTGGTACATAGTAAGAGAAAAGTAGTTTGAATTACCGAATAGCTGCCACCCCATGGCCAACTTCATGTATGACACCACTGATGAGGATTGCAGTGAAGAAATAGGTCAGCTGACTGACGGGCAGATTTACACCAGGCACCTGTTTATGTAGGCATGACAACAAAACACACCAGGATACCAAGAGATACAAAGTCAGATCATTTTTCCTTTTAACTTGCCATGGCTACATAGCTGTTTAAGACCAGAAACATATACCTTTCACACGCTTAGATCACATCACTGCCCTTTCTACTGTATGTTTCTTAAAGTGTACATACAGAACTTTAACCGTGTAGTTAAAGTTAAAGAAGGTAACTTTTATTGAAGTTTAAAAACATTTCCATGCCAAAAAATATGCATACAGCATACAAGCAAATCACAGGAGAAACTATTATAACTCTGTATTACTTTCTGAAATTGCTAGCTTCAAATTACAACTTTCTGTAGCTAATCCTCTAGGAAGCAATGTTGAGGTTTCACAGTCATTTCTGTATTGCAGTAACAGTATTCTCAACTTCAAGAGTTTAAAAATCAAGAGTCACAACCCTCAGAAACCATGCAATTGAGCTAAAGCTATCAGGTTTAAAATAATTAGAATAATAGAAATATAGAGCTGAATAAGCCATATATATCACCTACACCAACCCCCCTGCCCAAGACCAGACCACCGCTGTCTAAAACATCCCAAATGTTTGTCTAATCCAGAGCTTTCCAAACTGTGTGCCACGACACATTACTGTGTCGGCGGCAGTGTGTAGGTGTGTCGTGCGAAATGCAGAAAATTTTGCGGAAGGGCACCACAGAGCTCCCTTACTCGTGTCTGCTTCCCTTGGCCCCTCCCCCGGAACTGAATTACTGTGTCGCGAAATGATGCATGTCTAAAAAGTGTGTCACCAACATGAAAAGTTTGGAAAGCTCTGGTCTAATCAGTAAGTAAAAAATCCTAATGACAGGCTCTTGTAGGTAGTCTCTTCCAACCCCATAGCTGGTAGTTTTTAATATCATCTACTCTGAACTAGTGTTGCAATTTTCAGTCTCTCGTCTAAATGCTGCATTCCCTCCAAACATGTCAAATGCATACAAGGAAATAACATCTTGAAAATACAATTGTCAATGCATTTAAAGATGGGCTCATGTATATATGCATACCCCCACACGCCACAAATGCAGATCCCTTCCTGCCACTGCTCAGAGCCAGCCCCTGGCACTTCCTTTAACAGGTTCTCCCTAGCCCTCAGCTAGATTTCAGAGAATCTACCGTATTTTAAGAGTACTCCTACTCAAAGCATTTTCATGAGGAGAGGATCCTTTGTTAAATATTTGCTTCTGTTCTACCTGTAACAGAAAACAAGCAAGTAACTGGTAAAGAACAATTAGCCTAAGGACAGGGCATCATTTGGTGCCCTCAAAGTCAAAGTGATGCACCCCTCACTTTGAGGGCATCAAAAGAAACAAAGATAATTCAATATATCTTGTAAGGCATCCTGACTTCTTTAAAGTTTTTGGCCAATGGCTCAACTACAAAACTAACCAGTTTTCTGTTTCTGGATCTCAGTCCTTTTCCTATTATTGTAATATAATAAAGGGCTTAGTCTGTCTGTCTGCATGTCTGTCTGTAACACTTTTTGGCCACCTGCACATGCACCACCAAGAGGGCGGGCAGCGATTGGCTGTGCGGGCCTGGGCTGCAAGGCCCAAGTTTAAGCTACTGCCAGGGAAGTTTGGGGTGGTAGCGAACATGCTCCAGCCACAAAGTGGAGGGGTCATGGTGGCAGCGCCCCCGCACCACTCCCCAGAACCGCCAGCAGGGAGGGGAGGCGGCAGGCACAGAGGAAGGGAGGGAGGGAGGGAGGGAAGGAGGGGAGTGAGGCGGGGGGAGGCGAAAGGGGGATCACGGTGGCGGCTGTTGCTGGGGCTGGGAGGCAGGGAGAGAGGAAGGGAGGGGAGCAGAAAGGGGTCCCCAACAACAGCTGGCAGGGAGGGAAGGAGGCTGTGCGGGCCTAGACGGATGCAGGGCGGTGAAGGGGAGGTCATGGTGGCAGCTGTTGTCAGGGCTAGGCGGCAGGAAGGGAGGGAGAGGAGCGGGGGGTGGGGGGAGAGGTCACGCTGACGGCAGCCCCCACTACCCAACCCCAACAACAGCCGGCAGGGAGGTGGGGCGGGGGGAAGTCCCGCTGTGAGGCGGAGGCGGGGAGGGAGCCAGAGGCTGGAGGAGGTGGCGGCGGCGGCTTGACTTTTTACATGGTCGGCCCCAAAGGCTGTTGGGGGGGGGTGTCTCATGTACACGCTCCCTGAAATCTGTCATTCTTGGTGGGCAATTAGCTAGTCTCTTTATAATCCTTATAAAAGATGATCAAGTGAAATCCAACATATTAGCAACTATTCCAGAGATGAAATGAAGAACGCCCTTCCCATGTTCTTGGAACAGGGACTACTCTTTTGCTACCACAAAGGGGTCACTTCACTACTTCTAACTGGAAATGTGCTAGGACAGAAGAGATTCTATGCTCTGAAAACTCTGGCAGCACAGTGGGCCTCAGTATTGTATGTTTGAGGGAAAATAGTAAGTAGTAAACAGGAATGAAAAACTAGATATTGAACATCTATTCCTGTTTGGATTACTGAGGTTGCATGTCCACTGTGTTTATGAGTTCTATTTAAAAAAAATGCATTCTGTTTTTTGTTTCTTAAAGCATATGGCAACAGCCAAATTTAGAGCAACTGTTCGAAAGGTAGGAGTATGTTATGATATGGCACCTTAAAGATAAAAGAATGAGCTAGAGAGCAGAAAGAGCCACGAGACTACTTTAAAGCAGGCTTGTCCTCCACCTTCCTGGTATATGTATCTTTTTGCCAGTCTATCCTTGCTTTAAATATATCGATATAAAACAACCTCATTTTGCTATTCAAGACTCCAATTTTAGATATCTAAACTAAGATTTTTCTTTTACATTTTCAATTCATAAGAACAAGTTATATCCAAGGGATTCGTTTTATTTTTCCCCTCTAGTTGGTTTCTTCACCTCTCATAATATTATATAGACCTTCCTTCTTTTAGTGGCAGACATATAAAGGCTAATTCCAGACAAAATGTGGTTTGCCTACCCAAAAACATACTAAAACACTATGAGTGCACCGATAAAGATTTTTGGGGCCAATATCGATGGCCGATTTTTAACGCGCTATATCGATTTTTTTGATACCTATCGAATTACCAATATACAGCCCAGCTGGTAAGTCTGTTGTGGTGGAAGGGGCAAGGAAAGTGGTAGGGGAGGGCAGACTGAGGCTCTCACAGTGAGGGAAGGAGTGGGGCTGAGGCAGGGATAGGCACTGCACAGCCAGGGCAGAGAATGGGACGGAACCGCAAGTGGGGGGAAGGAACTCCTGTTGCTACGCTCACCCCAGAAGGGCATGGTGAGGGCAGGCTGCCACTGCGGGCTAGATCCGGGGCTGCGCCGAGCTCTTCCCAGCTAGGGCTGGGCCAGGGCTGCGCATGGGGTCAGCAGCAGCGGCAGCGCTGGGTGGGGGGCTGCAGCCACCCCAAAATTCACTGTAGCCCCCCCAACCCCTCCTCCCAGTGCAGTCTGGCCCAGCCCCCCGCCGGGAAGAGCCCAGTGCTGTCCTGGCCGCAGCCCGCAGAGGCAGCCAGCCCTCGCCCCGCACGCAGATCCAGGGACACATGCCCCCCATGTCCTCCCAGGATGCGCAGCGGCGGGAACCACTCACCCCCACCTGCTTCCCCCCGCTCACACACACACAGCCACTTGTGGGTCCATCCCACACCCTGCCCCAGCTGTGCAGCACCTCCCCTGGCACTGCCTCCCTCACTGCAGGGGCCTCGATCTGCAACTCCTCCTTTCTGAAAACAAGTTTTCCTCTAGTGCTGTACTTCTATCATCAAAAAACTATGCAGAAAATTAAAGCAGCCTTGCCTGGACTGTCACCAGATATTTCTGGGACAATTTTAGGTTTCAGATCAGCACCAGAAAGAAAAACCTTGATCAATTCAGAACTGTATGCAATTTTTTTACCAATCTAATCATTGCCTCCCACTGTTCTGAGCTTTTTATTGGTTCCCTTTCTAAGACATTCTAAATCATGCTTGTTTAAAAATCTCAAACCTAAATTAATCCTGAACGGTACAGATTCTAAATACCTCAATGATGGTAAATCCTGATAATTGTTTTGTATTATGGGCACTATGATGCGTTCTGGGCATTTGATACGGACAACTATCTGTTCCTAATTCCTGAATGCTTTATATCATTTTTTTTCTTGCATTTTTTCCTTCTTTCCTCTGCTTTTTTAAAAAGACTGAATTAGAACATGGGATGTTTGGTATAATTGAACATCAGATGTCTAAATTTGTGTGGGTGGATTTAAAACGAAATAGACTCTTTCTTCTCTGAAGAGAGCAGTTTCCAACTCAGAAGCCAAAATCAGAGACAGACCACTTACCACAACTTGCAACATCCGATCGTTCTGGGCTGTGGGGGCTTCGCTTAACATCTGTGTCAATGTCTGTATCAATGTCTTTCCAAGCAGAATAATAGAACCAAACATGGCAGCTATGCCAAACACCATTCCTATGCTGAACCTGAAGGAAGAACCAAGAGATACAACAATGACTGTATATCCTTGGGGTAGTTAACTGCTGAAATGCAGTCGAACTTAACAGATACTTCTGACAAGATATCCTCAATGCTGGTCCATCTACCTAGGACAAAATCACAGAAGAATCAACTATCCCATAGAAAGGAAATCATTTGTATTTCTCTGTAAAGGAGTTATATAACAATGCAATATAAAATGATAGCCAATTGAGAGGCAGGGATTGGAATGTTGTATTATTCATCATATTATTATTTCTGTGCCACCTAGAACAGGTACAGTTTACTTAGAGTTGATCACAACGCAGAAATTTACTAAATGCTTTTAAATAAAGGAGACCATGTTCCTAAATTAAAGGATTTAAGAAAAATGAATTAAATACATTTTTCTTGTATTTGAAGCTATTTAAAATTAAATTTGAAAGTACAACAGTTCATGGTAGGCATGAGCATAAGTGGGAATTTTGGCACCTTGGCTGTGGTGGCAAACATTGAAGAGTCTTAGTGGGAATTTTGGCACCTTGGCTGTGGTGGCATTCATTGAAGAGTCTTCCCCCCTGCACACAAGCTGCATCTGCCAATGTGAGCTACCTGTAGGCTGCCCCCATGCCCTGGACTGGATCTGGCCAGCAAGGGGTCCCACAGTCTGGATCCGGGCTGGGGCCCCAGATGAGTTTGACACACCTGATTTAAGCAATTACGTAACTTAATAGCCTGCATAGATATAATTAGCAGAAAACTATCAAAATATATAAACCAGAGTTTCATTTTAAAACTAACAGAATGTGGGTATGGTGATATTCCTAACGATTGGCCAGAAATGCCTAACCAGAATTCTGAAATTATACCATAGATAAAGAAATCTAGGCTTCCATCGTCCCCAGTTGTAGAACTGACGGTTGAAGAGACCCGTTTGCCATCGCACATGAAAAGGAGAGACACTCAGCCCATATGACATCAGCCAGTCTTCATAGGATGCTTTCAGAGAACTAGAGGACTGTAAAAAAGCAATAAAGTTTAGTTTGGAGCTTTTAGGAACATGCTATGATGTTCAGTAGAACAAAGAACAGAGTACTACATGCAATTGTATGCACAGGCATATTCATATGTAAACTACATAAAAATAAAGGTAAAACAGATTTTATGTAAAAGCCTAATTTGTAGAAACTACAAAACCTTGTAATAAGGTTGTGTGACCTGACTCCTGTGTACTCACTGGAATCTTTAATCATCATCTTCCTGTAAATGTACTGTAAGGACATAAGCTGCAAGTTTTCAATGGACAGTAAACTGTTAAAAAATAAAACGATTTTAAATTTACGTACCAAGAGAATAACAAAGCCAGAATAATATTTTGGCCATCTTTATTTTACATAACCATTATACAATGTAGTAGTATACATGTAATACTATGAAGTTATATAAGCATTTTGATTTCATTCCATATTTATCAGGTTTTAAAAATAGTCATAGGGTTCAGAATTTGACAGACAAGATTCTCAGTTAAAAAGTACTCCTTGTGATTTTATATAAAGAAGGGGACTGGAGGAGACCAGGTGATTAAAAAGGTTTAAACATTCCGCTTATTTTGTGTAATGTTTATTTGTTATCTTCTAGTATTATCTTCTCGTTTCCTCTGAAGCTGTCCTCTCATCCTCCTGATATACCTCAGTTACATCAATGACATCTTCATAAACATTAAATAAATTTCACCAAGACTTTAACAGGTTCCACCCCTCCACCAAACTAACACTGTTTTTTGGACTCAAGGCACAACCTTTTTAGACTCAAGGCACTCCTCAACAGATTTAAAACATACCTTGATTAGACCTGAAGCACCCTTCAGAAAAATGCTAGTTCCTAGTTTTCATTCTTTTTTTTGACTACAGAAAAATAACAGAACAGTTCTTCTGTTGAAAAGAACTCAGAAAGACCCCAAAAAGGCAGTATGTTCTTAACACGATGGAGTCTTGTTTGAAAACTCTGGGTTTGTCTTGGGAATTATGTTTGCATACCTAGCAGGGATAACACTGAGTGACAATCCACAGCACACTTGAAAACACCTCACAACACCCTGGTGGAGAATCACGGTCCTAGACACTACTACATCACCACCACACTGTATCGGAAACCAACCAACTGCCACTGCTACGTTCGCACCACCAGCTTTCACCCTAAGCATACCACTGGATCCACTGTGTACGACCAAACTCTGTATTATAACCAGATCTACTCTGATCCTGCTGACAAAAATGAACACCTTAAACATCTGGAGCAGGGATTTCTAGTTACAATACAATCCCAAAACTCTGCCTACTCAAATCAACAATTCAGACCTCTCTGCAACCTGCTACAATACCAACCCCAGAACAAGGACAACAGAATGGCTCTGGTTGCCACCTACATCCCCCAGTTTGAACATCCAAGACACCATTAATAACCTCCAACCCCACCTGGAGAAGGATGACCGTTTCAAGTAGCCATTGAGAACACAGCCATCCTGGCTTACAGACAGCTCCCCCCCAAACAGCATCTCTCACCTACAGATGGACTAACTCCCATCCTCACTGAGGCACCAGGCCTTGCATTGGACTGAAATGCTTCTTGTGTCCCCACATCAACACAAACCACATCACTGGATCAAATAACAAGGCGTACAACATCCAAGGTTCGTTCATGTGCAGCTTGACCAACACCACACCTGCCAACACCTGCTTACAATGCCCATCTGCTCTCGACATCAGACAGAACGAACAAAAAACGTGTAACAATGAATGAAAACCAATCTGACATCAGCTGCAGAAAGACACACAAGTTTATGGCAGAATATTTCAGCCTCCCCGGATGTTTCATTGCTGACCCCAAGACTGCTGTTCTCAGGAAGAAATTTTTTTTAGAGTTTGAATGGGAAACTGTAGAACAAATCATACACAAATTGGACTATGTTAAGTATAGTTTAAACAGGAACAACCAATTTTTATCCCATTACCTAGATTAGCTTTTACAACCCCTTTGTTCCTATGGGTTCTTTGCTTGTTTGCCTCTCTCAGCATTCCTGTGCCCCTCCCTCTTGCTTTCTCACCTATTCTATTCTAATCATTCACTCCCCTTCATACTTTGCTCTATGCTGTCCTTTCACTGCATCTGATGACTTGAACTTGGGTTCACAAAATCTTGTGCTATATATCGTATTTAGTTAGTCTATAACGGTACACATCTACCCTAACTTCTGATTTCAGACTAACACAACTAACTACCTCTTTGTGTTCATGAGTCGTTTATGCGATTGCCTCCAAACGTTTTTGGTTCCTTTTTTCTTTGCTGATGGATGAGTAACATGAAAGGATAAAAGAGAAATGATGGCTGTTCACAGGCCTCCTTGGCCAATTCCCCAATCCAGTAACTGAACACAGGCAGAGAGTCAGAAGTCCCAGTGATCTTGTGCAAAGGTTCACCCACCTGGATTCAAGTACAGGGACAGAGCCCAAAAGTGTTTGCAAAAAAGTGCATCTAAATGGGTCATAAGATGAAACAGTCTGGTGGCTTCTCTTTTTGTGACCTGATGTAGAAACAATGGGGAGCTTTATTTCTTGTAACTAAGCCCTTCTAATTAAAAACATCTCATACTTCAGAAAGAAGCTCAATTTTGTTTTTCAATGTTTGTTCTACAACTGGTCAGATAAATACAGTGAGTTTAGCCATATCTTTCTATAGCACATTTAGCAAAACACTGCTTTCACCGAGTTCCTTTTTTAAGAACAAGCAGCAAAGGGGTTTCTTCATCTTCTACATATTTACTTTACTATTTGTCCCTGCATGTTACACCAAATCATGACAAAATGGCCATCACGCTGAAACAAACAAGGCTTCTTTGGGGTGGGCACTGCCAATCCCACCTCTAGGGCTGGGATTTGTGCTCTGAAAAAAATAAGGTGGGCAAGATGCAGTATTGCATTTTATTTTCCATGCTTCTAGCCTCAGGAGAATCAGGTTGGGGGTGGGGGGAGGATGCTCATGGGCAGATGTAGGATTTTGAGAAAGGGTGTGTGGTGCATTATCAGTTCATAACATAACTCATTGTCCCCAGTTAAAGGGACACTACAAGCTTTATAAATATGCTGGGGGGCCTAGCACTATATTATTCAGTTGAACATCAATGCAAACACAAATACAACTTTATCGTAATGGTCACTAACTTGCTAGATTATATGGCTTAAAAGTGTTTAAAAGAAATGAAAAGCTAGGCAAAAAATGGTCAAAACAGTCAAAAGGCATTGGGTCAATAGCCCCCAGTCATTCATCCAGTAGTCATTAGAGTTAAATGTACGTGTCTCATTCAGATTCACAAAACATCTAGTCTTCTCAAGTGCCTTGACACTGCCTCCAATACTGAACTGTCGGTCACTTCTGCACCTGAGCTAATATTACCCCAGCAGAGTTAAAGTTTTGAGCTAGAGTTGAAAGCAGTCAGCAGGGCTAGGAAATAGAAGAGAGACATCACCAGGAAGGACTAAGGGACTGTAGCATTGCAAAAGAAAAGAGTTTGTATAGCGGACCATCAAAATGATTACAAGGAGGAGAGGGTTGTTAACACCCATGCCAGGCAAAGACATCAACAGGAATCAGGAAGACGAATTGATAATGAGCCATGGAGTCAACTGCTCCTGTCACCACTTAGCACTGCTTGAATAGAAAAACTTTTACTATTGCTGAGGGGCAGTCAATTTAAAGCAGGGGTGGGCAAAATGGTGGATCCAGCCGGTGGCCGGATTCCATTTCCCAGCAGCCCCTGCTCACGTGATTGGGGCTGGTTTCCATGGAGATGCCAGCAAGAGCCACACTGTGATAGTGGGAGGCCAGGGTTTCCATGGAGACTGGCCCAGCAGTGCTGGCAGGGTGCAGAGCTGCTCTAGAGCTCAGCTGGGATCTTGCGGTGGAGACAGCATGGTCCAGACCCAGGGCAAAGCCACAATCTGCAGCCTGCATGCCCTGGGCAGACACGTGCAGGCAGCAGATCACGGCTTTGCCCTGGCTCCTTGCAGTGGTGACAGTGTCGTCCAGAACCAGAACAGACATAGTTACCCCAAAATTCCCTGTAGCCCCACCTGCCATAGCCACCCCTCCCAGCAGCGCTACCAGTGCTGCCCACTTTGCACAGGTGGCGGCAGCTGAGCCTGCCCCACTTCCGCTCACAGCATAGCCCCAACTCCAGGAAGAGGATGGAGCTGCTGCTGCCTGCCACCGCTGCTAGGGCTGGTCTCCATGGAAACTTCAACCCAGTGCTATCATAGACCAGCTGCTGCTGGGGTCTCCATGGAAACTATCCCCAGCCACACAGGCAGGGGCTGTTGGGAAACGAAGTCTACTGCCAGCCAGATCCAGACTGCAGGCCAGACTTTGCCTGCCCCTGATTTAAAGTGTGGGTGGAGCAGGAATCAAAGGGAAGTGGGAGTGCTACTGCCCCACTGCACCTTCCCCTGCAGCAGCCACTGAAAGCCTTGAAAGCCAGAGAAGCAAGTCAGTTAGGGTTACCATTCGCCTGGGTTTTCCCAAACATGTCCCCTTTTTGGGTCCTCCCACACCTCCATCTGGGCAGTTTTTTACAATATCAACAATTGTCTGAGATTTTGCTCTGTCTCTGCTCAGCACTGAAGTTTTTCCTGGCACTTCCCAGCTTGCCCTGTCAAGGCGCTGCTTGGCATTGGGTGGAGCAGGAGTAGGGGGGGGAAGGATGACTGGAGGCAGGGCGCACACAGAGCTGAGGGCGGAGAAAACACAGGAGGCGCCTACCCCTCCAGTGGGGGAAAGGATCAGAAGCCCCTTCGAGGGCAGCGTAGCCTGGTTGGTGGCACTGGGGCCAGTGCTTGTGCTCGCGGGGGGTGGCAGCTGGGAGACACTGCAAGGCAGGGGGCAGCAGGTCGGGAGTGAGGGACACTGGCAAGGCTGTGGCAGGGCAGTGTGGTGCACTGGGGGGGGGAGGGAAGGCTGTGTGTCAGGAGCAGGCAACACAGAAAATGCCAAAGCGCTGTGGGTTGGGAGTGGTGGGGTATCAACAGGGATGGGGGAAGGGAAGCTGGCTGCAGGTTGGGAGTGAGGGGCACCAGGTGCCAGGTCTGGGGGGGTGGGGCACTGCAGGTCAGGAGTGAGAGGCAGCAGCAGGGCTGAGGGGGGGCTGTGGTGTGGGAGTGAGGGTCAGCCACGGGCATATCACTGGCCCCATCGCTGATAGGCATCCTCTTCTTTTCCACTGGGAATCTGGTAACCCTGCAGCCAGTTCCAGGGCATCTGATGGAAGGCACCAGGCTCCACCTGGGTCAGGCACCTGGAAAGGGGGGTAGCAGCAGCTGTGACTGCGGGGGGATCCTGCTCCCTCTCCCTGTGCAGCAGCGGGGGGAGGGGAGTTCCAAGGCTTCAGCGGCCGCTCAACGGCTCCGAACGCCCAACGGTCAGCAACGGCCGCCGCCAACCGCCTGGCGCGAGACCGGGCCGGGGGAGAGGGGCCGGCGGCACCTGCGGCCCTCACCTTCAGCAGCGTGTCGGCCAAGTAGATGACGCACCAGCCGCCGAGCACGCACACCGCCACCGGGATAGGGATCATCGCCGCTCCGGCTGCACAGCTGCCCCCGGAACTGAAGCGCTCTGAGAACCTTCCTCCAGCAGTTCCGTTTTCCGAACGGACACTTCCGGCTACGGCCAGGAAGTGGGGGAGGAGAGAAGAGAGCAACGGGACGGCTTCCGGATCTCATGACGTCATTTCATCGCGCGCCAAGCAAGGGCTGGGATCCGCAGGCCGAGACCGTCATAGACGCGCATGCGCCTTCTACCGGCGAGAGCGGGGGGGGGACGTAAGGTCAAGCCGCGCTGCTAGGCGCGCATGCGCAGTAGCCAAAAGAAGTTACGCATCCCGCCCCCCTCCCCTCGAGGCTCCTGATTGGTGGAAAAATCCCGGATAAATTTAAAAAGGAGCGCAGCGGGGCAGTCTGGGCTGGCTTCGTGCGCAGCAGGGGAAGATCATTGTGCCATGTGCTTCGGTTGTGCGTGAACAAATCTTGCATCAGTCCTTCCTGATCATTATGAATAATACATTTATATTTATGAATAGTGACTACATTTCATTTGGGTTGTCATTTCAAGCTTGCTTCACGGGAGCTGCCACTATGTGGGGACGTAGCATGAATCCCTGTGGGGCTGGGCGCTCGCTAGGGTGGTCATCATAGAGGACAGTCCGGTTGTCTTCTGTCCTCTATTGATACAAAACCCGATGCCTTTATAGAGGACATAAAGGTGTTGGGTTTCGTAGCAATAGAGGACAGAGTAGCAGAAAACCAGAATGTCCTGGTGGCCACCCTAGTGCTCACCCCTTGGTACTGCCTTTGAGTCCCCCTGTGCTTCAAACTACCACCTGAGGAGGCTGCAGCAGGGCTGCTCTACGCCTTGTGTACATCGGGGCTTGGGGGGGGGGAGGGCATAGCCACCGACAGCATTTGCCTTAGGCTCCCAATAGCCACCCTCTTAGCATCACCTGTGTCCAAGCCTGCCACCTGCCCCACACAGCTGAGCCTACCCCACTGCTACCCACAGAAGCTCGGCACCTTAAGTGGGTGTTGTTGAAAAAATAAGTATGTTTGGAGAAGATGTATAGCACAGCCCCGCATCTTGTCCCATGCCCCCCCCCCCCCCCACTAGGAAGAGGCCTCCCACTGCCAACAAGACCCCTCAGTCCAGCTGCTTTAGGCCTGAGATCGTAGAGGAGCAGGGCTGGAAGCAATCTAATGCAGCCTGTGGCCTGAGATGGGATCATCCCTGTCCAAACCATCCTATACAAATCCATTGTCTTACCTCTTAGCAAGGCTACACAGTCAACCCTGACACAACACAAGACATAACAGCGTGACCTGCCACAGGTAAAGCAGGTAAGACTAAAACTAACAAGGCAGTTCTTGTTCACAGCAGGTGTCATCCTCCTGGGGAACTCATTGCTGCCAGAGGTGGTGGAAGCTGGCAGTTTAGCCAGGTTAAAAAGGGATTGGACAAATTCTGGGAGGAAAGGGGCATCAGGAGCTATTGAACATGGGAAACTTTGTAGATCTTGAATGCTGGAGGCTGCAAGTGACAAAGGAACAGTGGGAGGAAAAAAAAACCCCACCCTGTCATACCCTGTTCACTCTCCCTTTCAGCATCCCTTCTGTTTCACTGTGTGCCATAGGCCTATTGGATGTGCCAAGAGTCATGGGCTTTGGCCCATCACAAAATTGACAAGCATTCCTTAATATAGAAGACCACTGGGGACACATCAACTAATTATTTTGGACAACAAAAAAGAAAGTGAGGTCACAGATTAATAACATGGAATTCAGAAGAGGATGCTAAACAAAGCATGCTGGTCAGTGCCCACTGCCTGTGGAAGGAGTTGAGGGAGCCTGTGGACGCCAACAAGTGAAACTGTGCCTGGAGACATGAGCATTGGAGTGGCAGGAAGCCAGCCCCACACTCACCTGGGTTCCCCTTGACCAGAGCCTTCTTCCTGGACTTACAGATGGCCAGCTTGGCCAGGGCCAGGAAGAGGTTGACCAGGAGGTCCCAGGACTTGCTGGGGCTGCAGACAGGACGACCATTAAGAAAAAAGGTGTGGGGTGCTTCTGAAGGAGGTGGAAGAGGGCCTGCAACCTGGTACACTCAAGGTAGGCATGCGCCAGGGTCTCCCTCTGTTGGCAAAAGGGGCAGGTGTCATAAGTGTCTGTAAAAGGTACAAGATGTACGCCCGTGGCGACAGCTCCATGTAGGAGCCGCCAGCTGAGGTCCCCTGTGGCTTGTGGGATCAAAGTGGAGTACAAACTAGTCCACTGGGGACCCTTGTCTAGTGTGTCCCACCACTTGTTGTCAAGGATGGAAAGATGGACTGTGTGGAGCATGACTATGCAGAGCTGGCAGCAATGGGCTGTTCAGACGCGGACCAGCTTGGTATTCCCCAGTTACTGAGGTGGTGGGGCAGGGAGCACCATGGGGCTTACCAAGGCAGATATCAGTGGCCCCACAACTACTTCCAGAGGGCTGGGGGATACCGGGGGAGGGTGGAAATGCCCTTGTGCAGGACCTGATCAATGTAGGTGAGGGCAGCAGGGCAGCTTTTACCTTCCGGAGTACACAGGAGGGAGCATACAGCTCCATGTGCTGGGGCACTGCAAAGGGATCCGTCCATCACTGCCTAGCATAGTTCAGGAGGTCTCTGACATAAGTGATGTTTGCTGGGACCATCCTCTGGCACACCCAGGGCACCTCCATCACCAGAACCACCAGCTGCAGGATTTTCAGTGGAGGCTCAGCACAGAGGTCAGCGCACTGGGCGACCATGTCTGGGGACATGGAGGCAGAGATCGGCCTCCAGGCCCTGAGGAGGTCCTGGTAGAAATCTGGCAGCTCCTCAAGGTCCTGCTTGTGGAGATCTTGCAGGTGGAAGAGCTGCCGGCCATACCAGAAACCTTGGAGACAGCAGAGAAAAGCGCAGCCAATCAGACACCATGTTGCCTGGTTACCAGCACCGTAGGGAGCTTTTGCAGGGCCTGAAGGCAGAAGGTGTGGACCTGTCTGCAGAAGCAGATCAGGCCTTGCTTGCCTTCCTACAAGGGGAGGCTCAGGACACCTGTAGAAACCCATTGCTGTTCCAGACAGAAAACCACAAAGCCCACCTCTGAAGACTGGCCAGGAGTTCTGAGGGCCTGGCCAGGGTGTTGAAGAGGTGCCAGAGCATGGACAGGACACACAGCTTGATGACTAGCTTCTTCCCACAAAGGGGGAGACAAAGCAGCAGGCCTGCCCATGCCTGCAGCTGCTCAGACACTGTGACCTCCAGCTCCCCAGTGGTGCCAGTTCCCCAGTGGGGAGTGCTAACCAAGGGACAAGTAGACCCCCAGATAGAGCAGCAAGCCTGCACTCTGCTGGATGTGCTGCAGCATAGGTGGGAGCGAGCTCATTTGCCACCCATCACCCATTGTCAGGCCACAGCTCTTGACCCAGTTGACCTGGGCAGAGGGAGCCACTGAGTAGATGGACTGGCTGGCAGGCAAGTGATGAAATGAAAAACATGGAAGAAGCCACTGGGGAGGGTACTTCCAGCACAATTTACGGAGATCCCTACTGATAAAATGAACTTCAGCCCACAAGAGCTTGAGCTAGATGCCTAGTCTACCCGACCTTCTATATGCCAGCTGAAAGCCAGGATGGGCAGATTTTGCAAATATTCCAAAACACAATATTTTTTTCTTTAGCATAAAGGCACAGATGCAGACAAAACATACACATTATTGCTTTCTCCTGCAAGGAGGCTCCATCTCTCCATCTCAGGGCTTGGGGGTGGGTATGGAGGTTGTAGCATAGAGTCATCTTCTGGTTTCAGGCTAGTGACCAGGGGTCCAAGGGCTCTCAGCACTACTCGTTCTTCCAGCGTGGGCTTACATTGTGGCAGGGTGGGAGAATGGAGGAGCAGAAAAGAGCTGACAGGAGGGGTGGGGCATGAGGAAGCGGAGCTGGACTGTTTCTCCCCTTCCCAGACACTCACTAGAGCTGTGGTTCTCAAGCTTTTTAGGCCTAAGACACGCTCAAAAATGCCCTTTTAAGCTTTCACTCAATTTTTGATTATGGAAAAATACTAGAGCAATTTTGTTGTAAAGAATTCAGAAAAGCCACAACAGTTCAAAATGTTTTTCACACTATGGGTTCCTGGTTGAAATCTCTGGGCTTATCTTGTGAATCTTGTAGGTGTTTGCACATCTGAAAACACTAATATTCCTTTGCACCCTTAAAATAATTTTACTGCACCCTGCTTGACAATCACTGCATTAGAGGGCATCCTCTTGAAACTGGCTCCAGCCCTAGTCAAATTCCTGTGACAAAAGATCATAGAACCATAGAAGTAGGGTCGGAAGGGACCTTGTAGATCTTCAAGTCCGACCTGCTGCCTGGGCCGGAGGGAAACGGCTCAAGTGACCCCAGCCAGGTAGGCATCAAGCCGCTTCTTAAAGACCCCCAGGGTAGGAGCCAGCACCACTTCCCTTGGAAGTTGGTTCCAGATCCTAGCCGCCCTAACTGTGAAGTAGTTCCTACGGATGTCTAATCTAAACCTACTCTCCAACAACTTGTGGCCGTTATTCCTTGTTATCCTGGGGGCCGCTAGGGGAAACAAGGTCTCCCCCAAACCCTTCTGGTCCCCCCTAGTGAGTTTATAGATGGTCACCAGGTCCCCCCACAGCCTTCTCTTGTGAAGGCTGAACAGGTTCAGGTCCCGTAGCCTCTCATTGTAGGGTCTGCCCTGCTGTCCCCGGATCATGTGGGTGGCCCTCCTCTGGACCCTCTCAATGTTGTCCACATCCCTCTTGAAGTGGGGTGCCCAGAACTGGACACAGTACTCCAGCTGTGGCCTGACCAGTGTTGCGTAGAGGGGGAGGATCACCTCCTTGGCCCTACTCGAGATGCACCTGTGGATGCATGATACGGTCTGGTTAGCCCTGCTGACCATGACCTCGCATTGTCGGCCCATGTTCATCTTGGAGTCAATGATGACTCCAAGATCCCTTTCTGCCTCCGTGCTCTCAAGACTGCAGTCTTTCCCTCCCTACTAGTGTGCCCACCTCACCCCAAATTTTGGTATCATCAGCAAATTT